TTGCATCCCGGTCCCCCTTCATGGCTGGATACCTCTTGGCACTTCTAGGCGATCATTTAAAGGTCCACTGTGATGATGGTCGCGTTCTTTTGGACTTGCAGCTGCAGATGGGTCAGCATCTAAAGCGATCTAACCCAATGCGCAGCAAGCAAAGGACCTCATGTTCTCCCAAGATCTCAGCCCGCTGCGGAGAGACCCGAAGGCAAGCACTGAGTAAAAAAGCGGAGTCAGCCACATGACCTTATGGCAGCTTACCCTTGAAACTACAAAAGCATGAGCGGCACAGGCTCTGCCATGAAGCTTCCGCCTGCTCGCTGTTTTGATGAGCAATTGTATCGGGAGGGCTTCTGCCAGATTTTGAGCATGTTGTTTATGTTGCACGTGGATCAGGGGCGAACATCTGACATTGGTTGGGTGAGTACAGCTTGGATTCAAGAGCTGCGGAGGCATGGTTGTTCTTCGGCTCTTTCTGAGCTTCACTTGGATCGTATAATCACGTGTGCCGCTGTCATCATGGAAACTACCTGGAGGTGGCAGTTTCGAGTCTCCAGCAGTCATCACGCTCCTCGGGCTCACTAGCCTTAGTTGATCAAGCCCTCGTGGCCAGGCGTCTTGGGTATTCCTACGCACCCCCAAAAAATGGAGCCAGATGCCAATGGCGACCGTATGAAAGTCCAGCAGCCTTCGGTGGTGTTAGCTGGGATTCTGATAGGTCTCACACCCATCTGGAACACATCCTGCACTTATTCAGCAAAAGCTCCCGAGTTCCTTCTTAACTCAAATCCCAAGCTAACAGCTTGCATGACCATTCCTGCTCTGGTGAGCTGTTATCCTACTGGTAACATTCCAATAGGACCAGTATGACAGCCACTTCATGGAACCAGGAAACTCCACAAGGAGGTTGTCGCCGGCAACTGCCTCCATGTAACGGAGCGTTGGCAGCCTTAGGCCCCCAAAGGCAGCAACAGCAGCAGTAGCAGGAGCTAGTAGTAGTAGTAGTAGTA